CAATTTTGAATAATAGAAATTCTTTTTGTTTAAAGATTTTTTTTTTTTTTTTGAAAGAGTTTAAATAAAGCCTATGATCTAAAAATCATTTTGGTAAAGTCGAGACGTCAAGAAGCATGACTTTGTCACTACCCTTGCATGAAATATAACCTTAAAAAAGATATGACCACTCAAAAATAAATAAAAAATAGGAAATGCTAATTTAAATAGAATATTCATGGTCTGTGAATGACTTTTGGTCATATATATGGATTCTTTATCTAAATCCTCTGCCTTTTAACTATTTATGTTTTAGGTATTTTTGTTTTTTACCAATTCTACTATTTGCCAAAGTAGTTGAAGATGCATTCCCAATTTGACATAACTATTTATATACGTTTTTATTTTCACTAAAGATATTCTGAATTGATACATTGGAGGATATTAAATTTAGATTAGAAGATGACAGAATGATGTAGCAGGAATTCAAGAGAGAAGAAACTATTTGGTCTTTCTCTTTTTCATAAACACTAATAAAAACTGTACTCCCCCAGTTAAGCATCAATAATGTGCAAGTATATGTACATTGTAATCTATTACTGGATCCGTCTCCAACCTTTGTATGGACAGACAACAACTTAAATTGATGCAGTAGGTCATAGAAAATGGTTTACAACATTAGTTGTTGACAAAATCCTCTGTTTGCCTCTCTTCATAATCCTTTTCTTCAATTTTGTCCGGTTTAGCCCTACACATATATAGAATCAGTGCATAACTATGCGTATAAAACATGTCTTATGATCCATTGATCATTCTTCAATAACATTGTTAAACATATTAGCTTTACCAGCAAGAACTTAAAATTTAGCCAGACTTGCTTTGAATATCTCCATGTAAAGGTCATTTATAATGTTGCATATTATATATAGAATTCACAAGAAAGGACCCTCTTGGCAGTCATGCACACATAATTTTGGGACAGGTGATGCAACTCATAGGATATAAAACAAGCAGGCAAATGCTTCAATTTATTGTAAAGGGTCGAACCATGTTCTTCAATCCACCAGATGAGAATGGTGAACAAATGCCGGCAATTTTCTATTCAACTTAATACTGAAAGAAAAGGAGTCATAAAAGAGTCAAATATGGCTTTACAACAATCAACAGATTAATAAAGAAACTAAATTCATGTAAAATATTATTTTGTATGCTTAATGAACTGAAACTAACTACCAGTACCATTATACTTCACATAATCACCAATTTATGTTATTACAATCACATTTCACATAATCAGCCATTTCATTGGTGTACTGGATAACTGGCAGTAAAGACTAAGAGAAGCCTCGTGTAATTTTCATGAAAAATTTAGAATTAGCATTGCATTCTCTCTGGAAATGTCTTAACTACAACGTTTCCATACAGACCCCAAAGTTGTGGCATGTTCATGAATAAAGAGGGCAAAAAAATTTCACTGATATGAATAACCACAAGGGTTGTAACTTAGTGATACTTTTTCACTTTCAAGGTGAGGGTTCAAGTCTACATAAATTTTTAGGCAAAAAAAGAAAAAAACCACTCAATGACAAATGTTCCCAAAATTCAATTTCTACACCCAAAAAGGCAAGGCTTATCATTTATGCTTACTATTCAAGGCTCTACACCACCAACCTTCCCGGACCTCACAATAACGAAGTTTCGTGCACTGAACTAGCTCTTTAAGAAGCCCATGACCACCCAATACACACCCAATGTGTAATTTGATCGTGTATGCATCCTTGACATTTGTCCCTAATATATAATACTAGTATGTTCTAATTATGCTTCTAAAATCTAATTTTCTTTATCCACAAGACTCCCACTCTTGCTTCTTTATCATTATCCAACTAAGAACATGAACCTCAAATGATAGGCATTACTTGAACTTCATAAAACTATCATTCAAGACCATTATAGTTGATATATGATACCCATTTTCCAATGCCTATTCCCTTTATGTTTGGAAATTACATATTCTCATCTAGTTTGCCAGGTCACAAACAAAACAATTGTCCCCAAATTATACAAAGCACTCTATATTCCATCAATATTTACATTTGTGCTTGGATTATGCAATCAATCTCTAACATGCTTTTTCGCATTTCCTATTAAATATATTATTGGCATTTAATCTCACATATTATCAGCACAGAAACTCTCCACATTCTAAAAACATTCAACCAACACCATCTCCACAACTCTGTCATCCAAATTTTGATTACCCACAAACAATTTTTTGTTTATAAGATTGCACTACACGCAGACTTAGGTTCTTTTTATTCTATTTTTTAAGAATATTTTTATATGTTACTAAGAACATCTTCTATGAAATACATCAAAAATAAAAATTCGTAGAGAATAAAAAAATTCTTGGCTAGTTTTGAGATCATAGGCTTCAAGTCCATCTCCCAATTTTGAATATATTTCTGTCTAAAAAAATTAAAGAGTCCAAAGCCTATGATCTCAAAACCATTTTGGTAAAGTCAAGTAGCGTGACTTTATCTTTGTCACTACCCTTGCATGAAATATAATGTTGAGAAATGCATGACCACTCAAAAATAATAATAAAAATATATATATATATAGGAAATGCAAATCTAAATGGAATCCTTATGATCTGTTGATTGACTTTTGGTCATATATATATATATATATATGGTTCTTTTATCTATATCCTCTGCCTTTTTCTATTTATGTTTTTTGAAATGTTGATTTTTTTAAAAAAAAAATTTTACCAAATGTGCTATTTACCAAACTATTTATATACATTTACTTTACTTTATTTCCGGTATGAACATACATTCTCAATTTGACATAACTCTTTATATATACTTTTATTTTCTGAATATATTCTCAATTGATATATTGGAGGATATTAGAATAGACGAATCAGAATTCCCTAATTTTCATTTGAAAAAGTTATGATCATTTAAAATTTAGGTTATTTAGGTTACAAATTAGATAGACGAATAGTATAAATAATTGAATAATATATATATATAGAGAGAGAGGTAAGTTTGTACAAAGTGTTATACATTATTCAGTGCTCGATTTTAAACTGAGTATGAATTATTGAATAATATATATATGGGTAAGTTTGTACAAAGTGTTATGTATTACTGAATTGTGTGACTTTGAATTGAAAGAGAACCTATTAAATTACAATAGTTTTAATCCCTAAAAAAGGTTGACAGGATCAGCTGTTGACAGAGTTCAAAGGCTATGCTCTCAAAATGACGGATTTGTTTTTGTTCCACCCACTGCAATTCTAAAGCTTGGTTTTCTTCAGGATTGTACCACAGTCCGAAGAATTCTTTCATAATGGACCCTATCCCTTATGCTGTCGTCCTCGTCCTCCGCCGCGCCCACCAGATTGAAGGAATTGCCGGCTCAGTCGCCGGAATCATTGCCCTAGAATCACCGGATTGTTGTGGCAAATAACCTCCATTAACGGGAATTAATAACCGTTAATTATGGTTATTTGTTTTGGCTTTTTATGTTAGGGTAGGCAGTACATGGGCCTGGCCTTAATGTTTCCTTGTTTTTGGTCCTAATTGGGGCCTGTTCTCCCCAAAGGGGCTGTTTGGCCAATTGGCCCACATCTGTAAACATTTCTTTTATTTATAATACTTGCTTAAAATTCCAAAAAAAAAGTGGTAGCGTGACTTTATCTTTGTCACTACCCTTACATGAAATATAATTATATATATACATATATATATAGGAAATGCAAATCTAAATGGAATCCTTATGATCTGTGAATGACTTTTGGTCATATATATATATATATATATATATATATGGTTCTAATATCTATATCCTCTACCTTTTTCTATTTATGTGTTTTGAAATGGTATTTTTTTAAAAAAATTTTTTTTTACCTATTCTATATTTACCGAACTACTTATATATATTTAGTTTACTTTATTTCCAGTATGAAGATACATTCTCAATTTGACATAACTCTTTATATATACTTTTATTTTCTGAATATATTCTCAATTGATATATATTGGAGGATATTAAATTTAAATTAGAAGAGGACGAACTTGAAACAATTAATAGAGGAAAAACATGTACATTGGTACAGCGAGTTGTGCTCCATTTGGTAGAAATTACGAAAATTTGATGGAATGGAGAGAAGATGAGATGAATGAGTTTGATTAAATGGTTGAGATAATACCTTATTTGGTATGTTAAAAAAATAATAATAAATAAATAAATAAATTATTAATAAAGAAAGTTTATAATTTAAATCTTTTATAATAGCTTGCCTTTTTCTAAAAATAAATTGTGAAAGAGGAATGATGAATTATCTCTCTCTTTTGTCTTCTCTCCTTACCTCCTCTGTACCAAACTAAAGATTTTTGTTTCTTACTTCCTATCTTCGCTCCTCCCCGCATTAAATCCTAGAGCAATCTTCCCGATCTAGTACCAGATTGCCGGAAACTCATTGCCGTGGTATGGCCGGTAACTCGTTACCTCTCCCATCACTCTTTCTTTCTTGCACTCTTACAATTATTGTCTCAAATATCTCTATTTGAACTTGAAAGGATTATTTGGAATTAGAAAAGGATTATCTGGAATTAGACTTATTTACAGTGGCTCCTAGTTAGATCACCAATGAATGATGTGTTGCCCGTTATTGATTGCTGATTTAAATAATTTAAGACTTTCCATTCTGTTATGTCCTAAAATAATACTGAAAGGTGATTTAAGTCAAATATGGAGATACTCCAAGTGGATCAAATAGGGCTTTCTATTATCACTTTTACCATATAAACCCATCCCACGAGTTGCAATGGTCATAACTATGGTTTCCTACCTTTAAAGAATTTTTCGACACTACTTCACTAAAACACAACTGTAACTCACGGTGTGATTGGAATCTGAGGATATGGTTTATATCCTTGGAAAGCTGACTTCAAGGCTGTCAATTTGGACTTAAGAACGACCCAAGATGATGAACTTTGACCCCAAGCTTGAGCTCTAAACTGAGCTTCAATATATATATATATATATATAGATAAGTTTGTACATATATATATGTAAGTTTGTACAAAGTGTTATCTATTACTGAATTGTGTGAAACAAACTTTCAAGGAGATTTTAAATTACACAGCAAGTCCTAGAAAATGGTTGACAGGATCAACTGTTGACAGAATGCTGCTCTTTGCCTCCTCTCTTCATTATCCTCTGCTTGAATATCGTCCGAGATACAAGGTTTAGCACTGCACATACACAAAGCATCAGCTGCAGGCACATAACTAGGACCATGAAGCATGTAGTGCTGTCATGACCCATTGATCATTGTTTTCTCAATTACATTGTTAAACATTTAGCTTCACCAGTAAAAAGAACTGAAGCTTTTGCAAGATTTGCTTACAATATGTTCATAATTCATAAATAATATAATGTTGCATATTATATGTGGTAGTATCCATGTCGAATTCACAAGAAAATAATTATAAATGGACCCTCGGGCACTCATGCAGGCATAATTAGGGGAAATGTGATGCAACTTATGGTATATAAAACAAGCAGGCTAATGCTTCAATTTATTGTAAAGGGTTGAACCATGTTCTTCAATCCACCAGATGAGAATGGTGAACAAACCGCAATTTTCCATTCAAGTTGTACCGAAAGAGAGAAGAAATCTACAAGATGATTCTGCAATCTGCAAAACCGTTTTTTAGACATTTAGTTCCACTCCCTGAGAAGGGATGGTATGAGAAGATGTGGTGGATTGGGACAAAAGCAAGCAGATGACAGTTACCAGAATCGAACTGGCTGGGACATTGTTTCAGTCTAAAAGCCAGTTTACTGGTACACTGGTTCAACTACCGGATTCACCAATCAATTGGTTTATCTAACTGAGAACGAAAAAAAAAATAAAAAGAAAACAATGATATAACTAAGAAATTTACTTGAAATATATATATATTTACACATATGTATCTAGTGATGTGGTTCAACTACCGGATTCACCAATCAATTGGTTTATCTAACTGAGAACGAAAAATAAAAATAAAAAGAAAACAATGATATAACTAAGAAATTTACTTGAAATATATATATATTTACACATATGTATCTAGTGATGTGGAAAATTAATTTACACCAATCAACATATAAATGAAGAACCTAAAATTCATGTAAAATGTTATTTCACATGCTTAATGAACCGAAAGCCTAAAAAGCAATGTTCAATAGCAGGTGAGAATGGTGAACAAATTGCATTCAAGTTGTAGTGAAAAAGAGTAGAAATTTACAAGGTGATTTTGCAAGCTCCAAAACCAGTTTTAGTCATTTAGATGTCCATTCGTTGAGAAGGGAGGATGTGAGATATTTGGTGATTGGAAAAAAAGCAAACAGATGTATCAGTCTAAAAGCCAGTTTACTGGTACATTGATTCAACTACCGGATTCACCAATCAATCGGTTATATAATTGAGAACTAAAATGAAAAATTACTATATGATAAAACTAAGAAAATTACTGGATATATGTATCTAGTCATAGATAATAAATGGTGAACATTGTCATGCACTTCTGAAGTTATACTGGTGTATGTATATCTATAAATTTATGTGTGTATTAAAGGAGTCTTAAAAGAGACAAATATGACTAAATTCCCGTTAAACCTGATTTCAAGTCTAGTTTACAACAATATTAATAAAGAACCTAAATTCATGTAAAATGGTATTTTGTATGCCTAATGAACTGAAAGACTAAGAAGACATGTTCAGTTTGCATGGATACATTTAAAAGCAGGGTACGTAATAAATCTCTTTTTAAACCCACCCAGTTCTTATTGAACTGCTACTCAATTCAAGTGGTTCATCATGAATTAAGTCGGTAAACCATTCTTTCTTATGTTCTGGAGTCTAGTTCCCAGTTCCAACTGGCTGCTTGGGGTTCGATTCTGATAACATTAAAGCAAATAACAAATAGAGTTCATAGGAGAAATTAGAGTCATTACCAATTTCCAGATGAAGGAACAATCATCAAAGCATTGAATGGTAGCATAAGCGATAAATTTTAGGATTTTTTTTCCTCAAATAAATGAGGAAATAAATAACTCAATGCAATTGGCTGAAGTAATTGAGGCTGAAAAATGGAAAATCAAGTTTTGGAAATCAAGGTAAATTTGGATTCATGGTCTTAAGGATATAGATTTTGGACATCAAGGTAAACTTAGATTCATGGTCTTAGGGCTATTTTTAGACAAGTGCATTGACTAGTGTGATGTGGACTGTAAAACATATGATATAAAGAAAGAAAAAGGGGTAATCATACAAGTTACTCACAAGTCACACCTCACTTCTTGAACCAAAGCCTAGGTTCACAGCAACTAACTACTAGTACCATCAAGGCTCTTTCATGATATTCATAGAGCTAGAACCTAACTGGTACCATTATAAATCACATAATCAGCAACTGATGTATATAATAATAAAAATTAGAATTAGCAATCATTCTCTCTGGACATGTCTTAAACTGAAAAGTTTTCTTATAGACCCTAACGTTTTGGCATGTTGATGAATGGGAGAGCAAAGAATTTTCACTGATATCAAAAGCCACTCAATAACCACCAAGGGATGTAACCCGTTGTTACTTCCTCACCTTCGTAAACAGAAGGTCGAAGGTCAAGTCCCCAAAGGGGCTTGTAGGTGTGAGTTTCCTGCCAGGATAAAAATAAAAAATAAACAATTCAAATTCAATTTTTACACCACTTTCAAAGCATATATTCTGGAATTTCAAGGTTGCCACTTTCGTGTCATAGAACCAGTTTCACATCCAAAAGGACTAGTCACTTATGGGAACCAGTTCCACACCCAAAAAGGCTTGTCATTAATGCAGTTCGCTGCATGCATTTAAGTATTTAACTATTTAAAGCTCTGTACATCCAACCCTCCCCAGACCCCGCAATGGCGGGAATATCGTGCATTGGGCTAGCTCTTTAAGAAGCCCATGACCTCCAAATACACACCCAATGTGTGACTTTGATCATGTGTATGCATCCTTGACATTTGTCTCGAATATATACATTCTAATTATGCTTCTAAAATCATTTTTTACTTTATCCATAGGCCTCCCACTCTTGCTTCTTATCATTATCTGACTGAGAACAAGAACCTCAAATGAAAGTCATTACTTGAACTTCAAAAAACTATCATTCAAGGCTTTTATAGTTAATGTAATACCCATATTTCAAATTCATATGCCCCATATGTTTGGGAACTACATATTTTCATCTAGTTCTCCAGGTCACAAAAAATCCAATTGTCCTAAGATTCTATAAAGCACTCTATCCTATCCATCAATATTTACATTTTGTACTTGGATTATGCAATCAATCCCAAACATGCTTTTTTACCTTTTTTAAAATAAATTATTGGCTCTTAATCTCACATATTATCAGTACAAAAACTCCACATTCTAAAAACATTCAACAAACACCATCTCCACTACTCTCTCATCAAAATTTTGGTTACACACAAACAACTTTTTGGAAAGGTTGAGTGTTTGAGCCCCGGTGGGGGCAAAATATGAGTGTATGTGTTTACTTTACCCTTCAAATATATATATAATTACAAGGAGCATATCATTCTGCTCTAAAATACATTTGGGATGGAACATCTAGATTTTACTGCCTGGCAACTGTATTACTTTTACCAGTCTTATAACCATTAAGTAAGGTTCATGGTCATCTTTTGAAAATCCTATTAAAAGGAAAAACTGCATTTTATATGTGGATAAACAAGTCTAAATTTCAGCACATTGTATACCTTTTCCTTTCCATGGTTATTTGCTTCACAAATTCAATATTTTGATAACTTGCATGCATATGGAAGCCATATTGTAATAAACTAAATCAACTCAAAGAAGAAGATACCTTTTCACATCAAAAGCAGTTGCGGTGCCACAGCTACAACATTCATCGTTTTGGTTCTCGTCTTTAGGGTCCGAAGGAGGTGTGTTGAAGATAAATGGTGAGAGGAGTGGATCAGGTGCAGATTCATGCACGTTGCCCCTAACATTCATTGAATTCGAACCATTAAACAGGCTTACCTCTTGCAGGTCCTTGCCAAGCATAACCGAACCATTAGTCCAGAAACCGGATTTTGGAGACTTTCTCCTCTGCAAAAAATGCAGTAATGGTTAATAAATTTGTCCTGCATATTTTCTACCTTTTATACGAAGAACCAATACTAGAAAACACTACCTTCACTGAATTTGCATGCTGCACTGTAAAATGCCCAATTACATCTTTCCCTAGGTTGGCTGCACATAGAGGGCAAACCTGAAACAGAAGTCTCGAGTGGTAATTATAATCATCAAATCACAAGATGGCATCAGAAGAACATTTTTCACTCATCAATGTCCCAATCACATATTTGCAAGATTTTTAGGCTTAACGCATCAAATTCGACTTTCAATAGTTTATTAAGGTATGCTGCTCAAAAGCAACTAGAGAGACATATGATCCAAAATAAAGAAGACTTCATTGTTGGACAATTAGTTATCAACTTAGTATTTATTTTTTTCAACAAAAAAGAAAGAACTCAAGTAAAAATAAACCATATTCAAATATATTCAGTACCGCGTTTTTGAAGTCGAAGTAGTGCTCTTCCTGCAGATGACTACAAAGCACTGGAAATTCGACATCTACATAGCAGAAGGGGCATGGAAAGCAAGCTCCTGCATCGTCATCTCCTTCTATATCATCAATATTCAAATGATTATATGTTCGATATTAAGTAAAAAAAAAGTGGCATGAATAAAATTCAAGAATCTAACTGATTCACAGAGGAAATATATATATATATGTAACTGGTACAATTCCTAATACCGGCAAAAAAAAATTGAACAATGGTCTTGGGAGAAAATAAAATCATAGTTTAATAACATCTTACAAAATGACTGGTGGGGAATAGAAATGATAAATTAAATTTCCCAATTCAGTAAATATTAAACTAATTGCAAGGGAATGCTATTAAGATAAATGTTGAATTAAATTTCCCAATTGAATATTAAACCAACTCCTCTGTTAATCCTACTGATAGTTCAATCAATAGAAAGTTCTTGAAGCAAAAACAAAATAACATCAGATTACAGAAGTCAGTGTAATGTCCAAGTCAATAGCTATAGTCCCATTTAATTTTAATTTAATTCAGTACTAATAAAATGAAAATAAAAAATGTATATATTCAAAGAAAATGAAAATGTGGGTGTCCACAAACAGGAACTTCATCTGAAATCTACCATATACAGCACTCACACACTTATCTCACCAACTAATTGACAACAATTAAAATATGTCCCAAAAACTCACCATTTAACTATTGATTGCCCCAAAATTTTCAGACCCAGTTCGTGAAATCTCCCAGAAATTATATATTTAGGAAAAAAAAAATTCTAAAAATAAAAAGATGTGATGAAGATTTTTTGTACCAGAGTTGTTGAGATGGGCCGCTTGGACGGCAGAGAAGTGCTTGGCTGAGTGAACTCTCAAAGCCCAGGAGTTGTCCATTTGTTTGGTCGTCAGTTTTCCGGCGAGAAGGTGTCAGTTTTTTCGCGGGAAAATGAAGAGTGGGTTCACGGGACAGCCAACGGAACAATAGGTTGAGAATTTATTGCTCAAGCTATATAATCTACGTATATAACGTATAGAGAGATACATATATATATAGAGAGGTTTTTTGGCCTTTTTTCTTTTACTTTTTTCAAGTCACGGTACCACGAGGTCAAATTCTAAGAAGCATTGATAACATTTTAATTATTTTAAAAGGCAAATATATTAGCACTTCAAAAATACTAGTCTTTACTTGTTCTCTCCAATATTTAAAGTCAAGGTTATATATAGAAATATTAAATCCGTATAATTGAAATTAAAAAAAATTAGTTAAAAATTTAGACTACTTTTTTCAATTAATTGGATTATTGGGTTCTCTCAAACACAACATAAATGAAGTAGATTAGTTCTTTTTAAATTTATTTATTATTTTATAGATAAAATACACTAATATCCTCTGTTGAATGTTTGAATATAAGAATTTTTTCTATACTTTCAAAAATAACATTAAATTCCCCTATCAATGTTGGTGAACCAAAGGCATGAAATGAAAATTATACCTACTTTTAATTTTTTTTTTTTAATACAAAATGTTGTCTTTTCAAACTTTCTAAGGGTAAAATTAGATTTTAAATAAATTTCAAACATTATATTAGCATATAATTAAGGAATTTTATGACTAGGAGGTCAGTGTTGCTCTGACCAGAACTATATGGAATGTCATTGTTATTTTTGAAACTAGAAGAAAGGTCATTATTATTTGGACACGCCTACTCACTGGTGAGTAGGTCATTCTTACCGTGATATAGTCAAATTACAAATGTACAAATATTGAATAAATACAAACTATGGAAAATGATAAATAAGGACAATATATTTTCTTGGAATAAATTCAATCACCTAACGGATTTCCTTATTTATCACTTTTCAAATTTTATATTTACGCACTATTTGTATATTTGTGATTGGACCACATCAGCGGTCACTGTGAATGATACACTCACAGTAGGCAAGTCTTGTTATTTAAGCATTCAACCAAAAAAAAAAATGTGAATCTAATTTACCCTTTTATATATATATATATATATATATATATGACAAATAACATTCTACTCATTTTATTTTTAGAGGTAGATTAAATATTGTTGAATTTACAACCCGTGTGACTTAAAGATTAAGTAAAACGTGTGATCAAACAAGTCGTATAAAAACAAAGCAAGTGACTGTTTTGTACATTAAAATATGGAAGGAACCTAAAAGATTCATTAACAATTAAGTAATTTGTATTCCTAAAATGGACAAACCAACAAAGAGACATAACCATGAGCAAACACGTTGGAAAAAATGTTGCTTGTGTGTGGAGGATGGTGACCAAGTGACTAGGCAATGCATGAAGGTTGGTTTTGGATGGTGCATTACACATAGAAAAGGAGGAAACAACACAACATAGAGAGATTATGGTGGGACATCTACCTTGGAAAATAATATTGGAAAATGAATGGAAAGTGGAAAGGACAGATTGAACCTATGAGAGGAAATGGAAAAAAAGTAACCCATCAATTTTCAAGTGGCTTTATTGATTATCTGAGTTCTTTTCTTCACATAGGCTTTAACTGGAGGAGTCTTGTCTCTCGCAGGAGTTCATTTGTGGGGACAACTTTAGAAAAAAGTAATAAATATAAAAACTTTGGATAAACTATTCTTTTTAAAAGAAGATGTTGTGCGATCGAGTTTCGATAGAGGCAAAATATAATGAGTGTGCGTGTGTTTGCTTGAACATTCAATTATCGAAAAAAAAAAAAAAAGAAGGTATTTTTGAAATTGTAAAATTTTAAAATAAAAAAATAGGTGTATAGAAAATTAAAGTAACAAAATAATAATAATAATAATAATGAGTATGCCTGCCTGGGTTAGCTCCATTCTCAGGTATTATTGCTCTTGAGCTTTATGTGAGCCAGAAACAGTTTCTTTTAGTTAGTGCTTTAGGTTTTCATTTGTGCTTCTGGGCCTTAATTGGAATGGAAAATACTAGGCCCAAATTAATTGGGCCAACTGTCATTTTTGTCCTAGAGTTTTCATTCTGGCTATGCAATCCAATAATCACCCGGATATGGATATATATCATTTAAGTAATGAGATGGAGCTGACTTAAGGCACACAATTCTTTTCAATAGGTGTTATTTTTATGCTTTGTACGCGCTCTCGTTCAAATTTTTATTACGTATGACTTAATTCTATCGTTTTCACGCTGCCACTCTCGAATTCGCTATTACTTTTGCTCTCGCTCCTACTTTATGTGACTTAGAGTATGACAAATCTGACTAATTTTATTAATTAGTCGGAGTTATCCCACTCTCGAACTTCAAATCATTATCCTTTTAATATAAGTAGGATGATCCACAAGTATATTGACTAAAATAAAAGGTGTTAATTTTGTATATTCTTTTGATTTTTTATTTTTGATTATTATTTTTTTCTTTTTCTGTTTATATCGTGTAAAGTTTTAGTGTGGTATTTTGAATCACCAGGACAGGCGGAAGAAACCTATTTAAGATGTAGGAAATGTTTTAAAATTAAAAGGAAAAGAAATAAGAATACATATTTATGTGTTTCATCCAAAATTTTGATTATGTTTACGGAGTCACGGAATTTAACTATGATGAAGGGCAAAATGAAATTATAGTTTAGAATGAATAAACGCCGCTCCAATAATACTCTGTGAAATAGCGGTTAGTTCTGGTGGTGAAACTCTGGGACTTATTGCTTCATAAACTATTAAGTCTCACCAGTGGCAAAGGCAGCATGTGCCCGGGGGTAGCTGCCCTCCCTGCCCATGCTGCCCAACTATAATTTTTTTTTTTTTTTTTTTTTTTTTTTTTATACATAAATTTGTAAAAATTGATAAAATGTCCCTCCTGAAATTATTAAAATGGTCCCTTTGTCCCTGAATCTACTAAATTTTATTTTATTTTGTGCGTATAATTTGTAAATATTTATAAAACACTCTCATAAAATTTATAAATTATCCCCATAAAATTATCTATTTCTAAAAATGTCTTTAATTATTTATTTCTTTTCCTTCTTATTCTTCAAATTTCTTTTTGTCATCTTCAAAAACTTTTGCATTCTCTTTCTACAATTAAAACATATTTTTTCCTTCAAAATTCTCTTCTTTTTTTTTTTTCTTTTTATTTCATTTTCTTCTTAAAAAATTCATTTTTCTTCTTAAAATTTCTTTTTTCTTGCACTCGTGCATAATTTATGTGCAATAACTCTTTTTTTTTTTTTTTTTTTTTTTTTCATTTTTTAGTCACTTATTCTAATGTACTGTTGTTACACTATATTTTCGTCCTACTTGAAAAATAATTATTTTGTCGGTGTTAACATGTCTCTCGAACTAAATTTTTGGCTCCGCCCTTGAGTCTCACAACTGCAAGCATAGTCTGAGTTCTATTCGATTTGTGTAGAGGGATTGCTTTTGCACCAGTCTCATGAATTAATCTATGCGAAGTCCCAGACACCTAGATTATTGCCCAAACTTGAATCGATAAAGCCGGGCTTTAGTGCAGACTGAAAATTAATGTGTACCTTTTTTAACAAAAAAATACTTGCAGACTGATGCTACTCAAACCAAGAAACTTCTCAGCTTTAAACGTCTGAATTGTTCTTTCTCCGTTTCCATTCCTTAGGAGAATTTGAACGTTTTTTCGTCCTAAATTCTCTTAGTCATGGCTTTTTAGACCGTCTCAATTAATATATTTATCTCATTTTCCCGGTTAATTCTTGACTCTGAATGAGATTATTTTAATTAAGCCTACTTGGTTTTATTTTTGGTAATTTTTTTATTTATTAATTTTGGTTTTATTAATTTTGGTAATTTAAGCCTACTTGGTTGACTCCATGGTCCCGTACTCTGTTTCTTGTGTAGTATCCTTCTTATATCAGGCACATATTGGTCTTTACTTTTACTTTTACTTCACCTTTACGTTTCATCTCATAGGCTTTACTTCTAATCTAGTTAGTCTCACTAGCTTTTACTATTTTCTCCTGATTTTTATCAGTTCCTAGTACTCTCTAGTTGAGGGCCATCAAAGATCACCGCTTTAAAATTTGATAATTTTTTTTAGATGTGAAAGTAAGACGGGTACATTTAGGTTTGGTTTGTTTTGATGCAAAATATATTTTTTTTAAAATAAAATAATGTTTGGTAAAGATCTAGGTTAAATCAAAAAGTGATGTTTAAGTTATTTTTGTTAAACTTTAATATTTTTTTCTCTGTAAATATTTTACGAGAATCAAACACTAAAAAAAATATATATATTTTTAAAAAATATTTTACGTCCAAATAAACGGAAACTTAATATTTTTGAATTTTTGTAACAATGGAAGGCTAGCTGATGCACTGAGTTAGCATTAAAAATATTTTACATCTAAATAAACGGAGGCTTAATATTTTTCAATTTTTGTAACAATGGAAGGCTAGCTGATGCACTGAGTTAGCATTTTTACTCTATAATAATGCTAATGTGTTTCCCTGAGTTAATTAACTCTTACTATATGATTAATTATCACATATTCCTCAATATTTCTAGTTTTTCGATTGTATATAAATATATGATCTACATAAAGTTTGACAGTATTACAAGAATAAGAGAGGGGCAAAAAAGGAACTGACTTAGACAGAAAAGACTGGCACGAAATCATCGGGAATATGATAGAGTGGAATAGGGAAAAATGATTTGTTTTTTCTAGCAACAATTGAGATTAATTTAAGGCTTTATTGACTATAAGTGATATGAATTTTTGCCCATCTTAAGTATTAGAAACTAGCCAAGTTGTGTCCATGTTATATAGAGTAGAAATGAGAGAAAAAATAAATTTAAATTTAAGTCACACAGAGTGAAAATAAAAGTAAGAGCGCGAAAAATATGAGAGTAAGAGTAAACTCAAAGTGTGAGAACACCCATTTGTGCACCTTTTTAAACTAGTTTATTATTATTATTTTTTTCCTTTCCGTTGTAAAAAATTTCTGCATTTTTCTTAAAATGTTACCTAACTATTTAATTAAGTTATAATTCAATATTTCTTAAATA